AACATCGATAAAAAGCAGGGCCAGTAACATTCGTCGGTGAAAGCAACTTAGTCAGAAGATCCGAGGAAACTTTCAAGATTGCGACACGATCGCGGCACTTGTTCCCGGTAAGCCAGAACTTGCTCTATTTTATTTTGTTTTATTTCTGCCATACATTTCCTTTAAGAGTTTGGCGGCCATATTGCCAAGTAAACCCGCGCGTGCGTCGTCGCGATGTCCGGAATTTCTGGCCATGTGTGTGAACGGCTATGAGAGTCCTTCCTAAAGACTGGTATTACTTTAACCAACTCAAACTGGGACCGGCGATTCAAGTAAGAATAGATGTATTCAATAATGTCTTTAAAGGACCTGCTAGGCAGGATCTTTTGAATTGAAATCAACAAAGAAGCTATTCACATTCAATGGGAGCAACTCGATACTCAACTTCATGATGTTGCTCTAAACCTTTCCTTGTAATTGCGTACATTGTTTTACTTCTGTTGCTGTTATACACTTTAAATTCAACTTTGTACTTTGGCACAAAATACTTAATACGCTGTAATTACTTTATAGTTTGGCTATATCCTACTCTCTTTACCCTAATCTTAAGATTCTCAAATTTCAAGCTTGCTAAACACTGTACTTTTAAGTTCCTTTCAAGGAATTACTCTTCTCTATCCCACTCAGTTTTTAGCCTTTTGTCTTTTATACTTGTTAATATATTGTGAATATATTCTCTATTTTCTTTTTCGGTTCCTTTTTGAGAAAAAAATGCGTCTTTTGTACGTGTATGTGTCTTCTACAGTACCACTTTGTAAGCGATGCATTGAGTACCCATAAATATAAGTATTGTAATGCAATTTAAGCTGTATGTAGAGAACTTCTGTGTTCACAGGTAATTTAAAAAGGTTTTAAAATGCCGAGGAATTTAGGATTTTATTAGCATATCCTGAAACTTCATGCGCTCAACGATCTGACCATTTTTCATAATTAAAATCATGTCACAGTCTCTGATAGTTTTCAGGCGATGAGCTATGATGATTACAGTGGAGCCCTTCAGTTTCTCTCGCACTACTCTCCAAACTGTTTGCTCTGTTGCTGGATCCACGTGTGCAGTGGGTTCATCTAAGATGACAATCTTGCTTTTTTTTAACAAAACACGGGCTAAGCAAATTAATTGTTGTTCTCCAACACTGAAGTTTGCGCCATGTTCCAATAATTCGTGATTTAACTGTCCTTTCTGACTTTCCACCAGCTCCTTCAGTTGAACATCCTCCAGAGCTCGCCATAACTCTACATCTTCAAATTGCTCGAAGAGATCGAGATTTCTTCTTAATGATCCACTGAAAAGAACAGGACTTTGGCCGAGAACAGATATACATCGTCGAGCCTCTTGAAGGTTTATCTCGTTTAGTGGAATATCATCAATCTTTATGACACCTTGAGCGTCTGGCATGCGCAGAAGAGCGGCCACAAAAGACGACTTCCCTGCTCCTGTGCGTCCTGCAATACCAATACAGCTTCCTCCTTTTATGTGAAGATTTACTTCTTTCAGCACTTGAGGTCCACCTGGGTAGTACGTCATCGACACGTCTTGAAATCTTATACTTCCCTCAAGGGGCCAGTTTTGAGGAGGAAGTCTTTGATCTTTGTACCCAGGCTCACTCTCAAGTTTGGTGTATGTCATGATTCGTTCAACTGAAGTCATAACGTTTTCTATTTCCGTCGTTTCTCGTACAGAATAATCCATCATTTCCACAGTCTCAATGATGTAAGCAAGGCCTAGTCCTGCAAAAGCTATCGATACAATAATTTGGTTGTGCAGTAAATGGCTTGAACCGGGGGTAACATGTAAAACTGTGGTGTGATCGTCCAGGTGAGTGTAGTCCTGAGAAGGACTGTTGTCGGTGGTAGTGACTGACGTTTCGACAACCTGTGCGGAAGTCATCATCAGACTCTGATGATGACTTCCGCACAGGTTGTCGAAACGTCAGTCACTACTACCGACAACAGTCCTTCTCAGGACTACACTCACCCGGACGATAACACTACACTTTCAAATATTTTGGTTGTTATTAACATTTATTAACTTTACCGATTTAAATATCAGGCCTACAGAAAAAGGTATTGGAATTCAGAAGCAAAGGATATATTGGATTGTGTGTCGTAGACTTGTCTTTTGATGTTGTATTGCAATGATTTTATAGGTGCAAGTCTTCTACAACAGTTAAAGAAGAGTCTAAAGAACCTTAAAATGTAACATTAATCAGCGGAAGTGGAGTACAACTCAGTTAGAAATTCTTGTACGTAATTTCAACATCGATTTGAAATAACAAGCAGAATTTTTAAGAAATCTCGAGACAAGAACTTTAGCTGTCAGCTTTATATTACGATTCATAAATGATTAAGCTTTCATACACCTACCAGCATCTTGAGATACAAAGATCGCTGCTAGAGCCACAGTGAATGTCAAGAAGGAGACGAGAATTGCTAAGCGTACACCAAGCCATCTTTCGCTGCCCAACACCATGATGTACGACTGCGTATGAGCATCTTGGTATCTGAGCGGAAAATGGTAAAATTGCTATTAACAGACCGAAATGCCTGGTCATGACATGTTTATCCTGTTTTAGCAGTTACACAACGAGAACATGTTACTTTGTTAATTCCCCTTTTCCCCAAAGTTCGCGACTTTATTGTGATTTTATTACCATTTTTAGAGTACGCCGCTGTTGGAGTGGAGAAATTTATTAAAAAAATAATACGAGATCATCTCATTAAATATAATGTATACTACTCAGCCGCTGAGGTTTAAGAATTTCCGAGTTTACATCGATTAATCTCAAAATAGTTTAACCGTTTTCGCGATGAACGTACCTATTAAACTGTTCCACGAAGTCTCTCTGTCTTCCGCTTGTTCGAATCGTCTCCAACCCATTTAGGGTCTCCGAGAAATGCGAATATACAGGGCTTCGATTTATTGACTCTAACCTTTTAAGCTGTCTGGAGGTTTGCAAGAAATACTTAACGATGTACCCACCCGCGACAGCTAATGAAACAAAAACAGAAAGAAGCAAGGGATTGGCAATGATGGGAACAACAATTGAGGCAAGCATTTGTAAAAGCAACTGGAGGGAAAGTAGATACGATCGGGGTAAATGCTCGTCTACACAGCCTATGTCTTTAGAAAATCGATTAAGAATTCTTCCAATAGGATTTGAGTCAAAGAATAAAACAGGTGCTTTCAGAATGGCTTCCACCATTTTATCATGAAGGCGTTCAGAACATTTTAAGGAAGCCCAAAGGAAAATAAATGCTCTGATAGCGCTAAATATGAAGGATGCGAGGACCAGACATCCATGTATGATAAAGTTTGTGACGTCTTTCTGTTCTTCTTGACTCTTCTCTATCAAGAATGAGAGCCATACATCAGGTAAAACTACAATGGCTACAAAAAGAAAAGGAAAAAATTATACGGGATGGGAGGAGTTATCGTTCGTGCAAGATTAAATGCAGACGGAAAGATTAAATGCAGACGGAAAGTGAAGATTAGGGGGCTGCTAACACGAGTACCGTGTCACAGAGTTTTAGAAGGTCATGGATTGAAAAAAACTGTCAAATACACAAAACTTGATTGGTAATGTGATTTAAAAGAAATGAATACGAAGGGTTTGATGTCAACTTGATAAGATACGAATAATGACAACATTGCATTGGCAACCTTCAAAAAACACGAAAATAGCTACCGATCAAAAAATCAGAGACTTATAAAAACTTTCATACTAAATGTTACTCTTAAAAGATTGAGAGAAAAATCTACAATGAAATGGAACTTAGACAAGGAACTACCATTGGACACTGACAAATTGTCAAACATACCTTGAGTGAGGAGACACAAACAGATAAATCCCAGGATTGCATACGAATGTAATCCACTTCTGAAGTAGTCCCAGTAGACCTGGAAAGTCACTACTCCAGTTGTTCGGTCCTCGTCCGATATTTCCAGTTCCTTTACTTGATTTTGGGCAGGCACTACTCTATCTTCATCTGATTGATCTTCATTCTCTGTAATAAAAGAGTTCTCAAAACCTGGATCGAAAGTTGTGCGAAGAAACCCTTTTTCCTGAAGCTCAGCGAAACTTCCTTTTTCCAACATACAACCTTTGCACAGCACAATGACTTCATTAGCATCTTTGAAGTGTTCTTTTTGGTGGGACGTTAACAGTCGCGTTTTGTTACTTAATATACCCTTTATGCAATTTGCAAAGATATGTTGACCAACTTTCTTGTCTACAGCACTCAGAGGGTCATCCAATAAGTATAGGTCTGCATCCATGTATACAGCTCTTGCCAAGCTCACTCTTGCACGCTGGCCTCCACTGAGAACGGCACCTAGTTTACCTACAACTGTTTGGTCGCCGTTTGGAAATACATGGAAGTCTTCCATAAGGGAGCATGCTTCAACTACAGCTAAGTACCTGGGTTCATCGTACGATTGACCAAATAAAATGTTTTGTCTTATTGTCCCAGAGAAGACCCATGATATCTGAGGAACGTAAGCTAATGAATATGCACAGATTCCTCCTCCAACTGTGACGGACTCTTCGGCAGCGATAGCTTTGAGAAGAGACGATTTTCCACAGCCTACAGGGCCAGTAATGACTGTTAGAGCTTGTAACGCAACGGAAAATTGAACATCTTTCAGAATGAATTCAGCATCGCATATCTTTTCCTTCGGTTTCAAAATTGACACCTCAAGGATGGCTGGGAAAACAGAATGGTTATCCTCTTCAACAATAACGCAGGGAACTTCACCAGTGTTTTTGGGTTCATCTGAAACATTTTTCAGATTGTCTGTGTTCTTAATACTGTCTTCTTTGCGGATTCCGATTAAATCTTCTAAATATAGAAAGTCTTCAATCCTTTTGAGTGAAACACAGGCCTCATATATTCCCAAGAAACCATAAGGCAAGTAATCGCAAAAGCTCACTCTTAGTACATTGGTAAATGAGAGAAGCATAAAGACGTTGATAGGGGTGAGGGGATGACCCGTTAGCATCAGTGTAATAACTGACGTCAGCATGGCTAGTGACTCTGAAGTGTACTCCAAGGCAGCAACGCCTGACAGAACAACACTCTTCTTGCGGATGGTACTAATTTCATCACTGCAAATATAAAGTGAATAAATAAGGCTTACTTTCGTATCAGACAAAGGGTTCGGAAAATTTATGTATTCGAACATTAACATAGTGCAGGTGACCATTCATACCATCGAGTACCTGGCGAGCTTGTCATGAAGCGATTGTTATGTTATTGCAGGGTACCTGAGAGGGTAAAATAGGGCCATTTTTTCCGCAAACAAATGTATCACCCATAAATGTATTAAAAACTATAAATGTAATAGCAACCATAAATGTAATAAAAATTGACCATAAATTTTATACTAACCATAAATGTAATAACTTTTAATCACAAATGTAGTAAATCCACTAATCATAAATGTAATAAAATTTGGCCATAAATGTAATAAACTGAACAATCATAAATGTAATTAGGCTTACCCATAAGTGTAATAAGCTGGCTATGACTTCCAAGTCAAAGGGCGACAAACTTGTCATTCTCATGCTTCGTGAAATTATTTTGAAATTTTCATTTAGGCCTAGGGCGTGGCTCAAGTTCTTTGTGACCCTAAACTAACGAGGAAACGAGGGCTCTATGGCTTAAAATATTGCGGTTTTTCTCGCGACATCCTAGCGAGACCAAACTTACCAAAGAAATTTTCACCCCTAAGCGAGACGACTAGCATCCCGTCTGTTTCACAGGGGGGTTCCCCGTGGAGGGAGGACACGGGACCCGTGGATCAAGTTAGATGACTCCGTTCCCCATTAGTATTTAAACGGAGAGGCCAAAACCCAAGAAGTTATTAATATGGTCTGCTAACATTAAGAAAGTACTCAAACTAAGGTGGAAGTTATTAATATGGTCTGCTAACATTAAGAAGGTACTCAAACTATAGTTGACAGGTAACTGAGAAAATTTCCAGCTTTAAGAAGACTCTCTTAAAAGGTAGAATTCAGTCAAACATCACCTTACAACGAATACGCCTGTTTTAAGTTTTAAATTCTTCCTATCGTACCACGCCCCCTTCATCTGATTATGCTTCCAGGAAACAGGTGGGAGTTTAGCCGTGACTGCAGGCTCAAAAATAATTATCATGTAATTATGTCACGTATAAATCCTCGACGCATAACTGCGTGGCGATTGAAAACACAAATATGTAGATATGTTTTCTTATGAAATGCAAGAGAGTATGCAGAAATGTCTACAGGTATACACGAAACGAGCAAGAGAATAAACAAGTTCAAGAATTGGAGTTCAATTGTATTGAATTTGCTAGAGTAAATTCACAAGCAAGTGAGAAAATTTCGGGACGTCCCGGCTTCAATCGTGAATAAAACTGAAACGGCTCAGTATTATCTCTTCCGGTTTGAACTTCTATCGACACTTGTTCGTCATTTGTTGATCGGTTAGTAGGTTGATTCCTGGGCTAATGTTTAAAATTTTGAAATTAAACCCTCTAAACTCTTATGACACGCTATGCAAATTTCGGGATGTTAGCGGAATTTGGCTCACCCTCGATGTAAAGAACCTGCGAAATTTACTCAAAACAAAAGAACAAATAACAGGAAATTAAAGCAAAAGCTCCAAAACAAAGAAAATGTCACAACTCCTTACCTTAACTTTTTAGCGAGTATTTATAGTTACTTTCGAAGGAAACTTGGCGAGGGAGACGAAAAGTTGCTTACTGATATTTTTAAAATATAAACAATGCAAGCAAGTATAGGCGAGAAAGTAAAGAGAGTAGTTTATGAAGTTTTCCATGAATGGGATAACAGAGTGTGCTACTCTTATGAAATGCAAGAGTGTATGCAGAAATGTATACAGGTATACACGAAACGAGCAAGAGAATAAACAAGACTATTTATGACAAACCTTTAGCCACTTATTGAACTGCTTTTTCGCGCCTTCTAATCACACGTTCCAAATAAAAACTCTATTGTACTCGTGTCAGTGAAACGAATAGAGAAGGCACGTTGTAACAGACTCTCACTTCATTTCACCTGATGAGATATCAGAAGCTGACTGGAGTACGTTTCTGAAGATGTTTCTTGCTTTAAAGCGGGACTGTGACGAAAAACGTATCATTCCGTAAAACCTTTTTACAACAATATCTCGAATTTATGCACTTTGAATAACATATGTATTAAATATTAGAAATATCTAGCCAACGACCGTCGCGAAAATGAAACTTCTGCGTTGCGAAATCGCCCTTCCGCCATATTGCTGTTGAATAAATGAGCGGCAGGACATCGGAAACGCGTCAAAACGTAGTGACGTCATCCAATCAAGACAACTCGAAGGCAAGAGAGCTTGTAGGGCAAAATCACTATGTCTTCAAGCGAAAGTGATCGATCATCTAGTTATTGCTCCATTCCCCCTATTTATTTAGGTTGTCAGCGTGTTGATTGTTTTCTTCCAACTTCGGTTCTCCTCTATCACAAACTTGCACGCGTCGCAACTCTGATGGAGGTATAAGTGAGTCTCTTCCTAAAATGACGAAAATGGAGCATTTAATGATATAATTTGACTCTAATATGTTGGAATTCCTTGACCTGACCATGTGTTGTTTATATGTACTGACACGATCGCGTGTGTTCGCATGCAAAATCTCTCTTGTTTTTACCTGGTAATCTATTGTTTCCTTGGCGGGAAACGAAGCCGCAAGCTCATCTGCTTCGAAATGAGAAACGGCAATCTCATCGGCGGAATTTCCCGTTAACTCCGAAGATACTTCTTGATCCCCAGAAGCATCGTTATTCAAAGAACCAGAATCGGCAATGATTTCGGACCCGTTCGCCAAATCTGACGATGTAGATGTCGGTAGCTGCATGCAGAGATCACATAAGATCAATATTGATAGACATTGGTATTGTTTTATAGAAGACAGCTTATAGTAGAGAAAGCAACGTACAGCTGTGTACGTATAATGAGTTAAAATCAAACAGTTGAACATCACAATAACCTTTT